ACAAAGGTTATATACCTCTATACTTGAACTAATTAATGGTTTAATAACATATTAGTATCTATTTATCTAAATATTAATAATAATAAAGTTATTATATTATTCATATTCTATATAGATAATTTTATGAGCTAAAATACTTATAGTGAATAATAACATCACTTGCCTGAACTAGGATAACTTGTTTGTCAGGCGAAACAAAGGACTTATAAAATAAACTGTGGTTTATACTATCACTATGCAAAATTATTTTATTAAGTACAATATAACTAACTGATTGAAAATTTATGAATGATATACATATTATATAAATTTAACGTACTTTACCTTAGTGTACAAAACAGATCACATATTTTATTTTATCACATAATAATTTCTCTGTATTGTCGTAGGTCAAATTTTGGAGAGCTTCAATGAAAGTTTTTTTACAATTTCGTAAATGAAAATAGTAGATGTTTAGTTTCGCATTGAGTCTATTTTAAAGTAGAGGTCTGAGAAAAAATCTGGAGGAAAGATTTTGTATCAAGTGGGAAAAACCTTATCTTTTCGTCATTTGTTAATAGAGTCAGTGCAGAAAGGCAATACGTGTGTTGTTTAAGGACTGTGCTTATGATATTATTATAGTAAATTTGACTCACTCTAACTAGCAGGTACGAAAGTAAGCTATAATTTGTTCTTTCTTAAAGGTAAGAGCAGTTAAGTAATTCTTTTTTAAGATTAAAATTTATAAACTTTGTTTACGTATACTATTCTGACGTGAGTTCGTACCGATTGCATCGATGATTATTTATAAAACTCATTCTCAATAAGTCAATTAAACATTTCGTGCACGCCACTTTGGGGATGGATCCAACCCGATGTGCGATTGCCCTTTGTTAATGGCATGTAGGCACCCTGTATGGTAATTGATCATACGCTTTAACACAATAATGTTCTTCATTCACTACACAAAATTTTATAAAGAAAAAAAGTTCTTATTCGAATTAGAATGATTTTTTTTATAATTAAACTTTTTTTATTTAACCGAGTTAACCACTCTTCCGGTTTTAAAGAGATTTAAATTGGAATTTGTGAAAGAATTAAAATATTTTTTGTTGAACAGTTCCGTTTGTGGGTTTGTTGCCCACTAGAAAACAACGAAAACCCCAAATATAAAATATTTTCTTATGATAAAAAACAAAACTATTCATTTAATCAGGTTACCAGTGGTAACTCTCTAGACATAACTATGCACGGCTATAATAATGTTGAAAAGATTTTTTTATTGGATTTGTTCATATTCTTTTATAACGATATGTTTTTTTTATTGTTTACATATGTGTGCCTAAAATTTTTTACACCAAGCTACAGCAATCAAAACCATTGATTAAATATGATAATAATAATATAACAAGAATATTATAAAAGAATATATCCTTTTTTTTATAAAATCAATAAACGTTTTTAAAGCTATGACTATAGTTATAGCGAGAGTTAGTGCAGGTTTTATAAAAAAAATGGCATTAAATTTCACTGTCATTCCGAATTACAGTTAAAATACACATCTGGCGCTAAATGAATACTTGTCCTAAACTATTTCGCAGTAGGTAATCGTCCGTAATCTGACTATTCATTCATTGGTATAGTTCTCACTCACTTCTTTTTTGTAATCTTCATTTGCACACCTGCATGTCGTAAAACAAACTGCTTTTAAAGCAAACAATAACTTAAGTTTAAGTGTTTCTATGAGAGCTGTTCATCCGTAAAACAATGCTATTGTTAGTAATTGCCGTTCTTTCATTTTTAACAATTACTTATATTAAAAAAAAATAGGCGACCTTATAATTTTCTTATCGTTTTTGAAGTCGGTTGAAAAACGACGTGAGGTAAGTTTTATTATAAATATATAGTATATAATACATAAGTACTCCCATTAAAAAGTTTATTAACGTAAAAATAATACTCAACTTGGAGGCGTTCATATGTTCCTGAAACTTCTATTGAAGTCGAGTGGAGATTTTGTGTTGGTTGTTAATACGAACGCTCTACTCAAATAACATTAAAATATCAAAAACTTAAAAAAAATATCTTCTGTTTTCTTCAGTGATATAAAATGTCATCTAACTAATTTTTATATTGGGCAGAAATCTTCCAGATTTTTTGTAATAAAAATTTACTAATCGGGTTTCAATAAAAATGTTATGGGAAGCTTTCGAAGAAAGAAAAATAATTGAAAATATGTAAGTTTTAATTTCGCGGAGAAGTCGGTGAACACAAGTTACCGTCGAATCCGTCGAAAATAGAACTTAAGATACATCTGGCTTCTTTTTGATTTTAGAGTCCCTTAGAAAGTTAATTGCTATTAATAAAAGGGTTGTGTTGAAAATAACACCATTCTAATTTAATTGACATATTAAATTTTAAGTTTGACGGTTATTTCATAATTTAGATGGGTATTTAATTATTGAAACACCTAACTAAATGCTAAGATAACCAATTTTTATTATATTTTCCTAATGCAACTAACGTTCACTTTGAATAATAACGCAAATTTTGATATTAAATATTTCATATTAGCTTTAGTCAACGTCTTCGTCCGCGTGGTCCCTAGGAAGTGTTTAGTGGGATAAAAAGTATGCTATTATCTAAGTCAGCCTACCTATTCGTTTACCAAATTTCATCAAAATCCATTTAGTTTTTGACTGACAATCATCCAAACAAAGAAACTGTCACATTTATAATTATAATTAGTAGGATTATAGTGTAATAAAAAATAAAAAAAATCGACGATCTCTGGTGCCCAGATAGAGGTTAGAAGATTCTAATTTGAGCTAGCTACGCATTGGTCGAAATAATAATGAAATACAGTATTTAAAGTAATTGTAACAACTAGAGACTTTGGCGAAAGTGTAGAATCTTTCGCTGTGGGTGAAGTTATTTCTATTGTGTACAGACAATCGACCCAAGTAATTTTCTATAAAACAAATATCAATATGGCATTATGAATGCAAAATTTACCAAATAAAATGATATATTTTTTCCTGTTACTTGTTCGAAATATTTTTTTATAAACCGAGCTTAGTAAGCTTAACAATTTATAAGAAACAATAAAGCTATCGAATGAAACAATAGTCAGCGCGCACGTGCAAGCCATTAGAAGATAGGCCCGAGTTTTGGTACCTGTTCATGGAATCACACCATTTGTTGCATTGTTTAACCGAGGACACTGCTAAGTACTACCACATGTGCGGCCCACTCATCCGACCCAAACTTGTTTAGTTAAATTAAAAAAAAAATGTATGGTTGTCTTTACAATAATTTATTTTTATAAAAATATATTTCTTATCGTTCGGGTATATTTAACTGCTATTGAAATAGAAAAGAGTAATTATTTCTAATAAAAAAATATCTCCCCATTGATACCACAGGGACAACCGATGAAAAAATATTACAAACGTTCTCCAAACACAAGCTTACAAGGCCTTATTAAAAACACTCTAAGTGGAAATCGTTATCCGGGCATTCAGAGCGGCGTCCATAACGAACCCGACTCAACAATGGGCTTAACGCTCGCTCTCATTACAAAAAGCGACATAACATAACGCTGCGTCGAAAGCTCCTCTATTCAAAGTGTATACTCAAATTTTTTGTCGAGAAGGCTCCGAGATTTTGTGATTGGCGGACGCACGGCCCGCCCAGTGAACGCGGGCGCGCTATTGGTCGGGGTCAGTGGAGCACCCTCGAGGTTAGTCCCGCGCTGAGTAGGCTGTCGAGGCATGAGGGCGGAGGGGTGTTCTTCACCCCGAGGACCACTCGAGGGTCGTTCAGTGCAGCCGCGGCGTCTCGGGACGCAGCACGTGCGCGCAAGTGTTAAGCACCGTCAAGATTATTCCGAAAGCGAGCTCTCCCGGCCGGGAGATGAAGTGTGAGGAGGGCGAAGCGGCACGGACGCCACCGCCGCTGCTGCCGCCGGCGTCCCTGCTGTGGAGCCCGATATTACTGCCTCCATGGGGCCCGGCGTTCCTGCCGGCGCTCTACCCGGCAGCTTTTCGCTCAGCTTTCCCTGGGTGAGCGACGGATCTTGGACACATTTAGTGATTTAGTGTTTGATAATTATTCATTGGACTGTGATAGAAGTGATCTACTATTAAATTTCAGTGACTAATTAAGTTAAACTTAAACAATATAGAAATCGTTCCTATTTTTAATGTAGAGTACTTCCATAAATACTTACGACTTTAATAAAACTTTGTGTTTTCGAAGATGTATCGCAAAAATTATTTGTCGATAGTAATTTCCTTTATTAAAACAATGAAAAAAAAACTAACTCTTTTTTCGGCAAAAAACACACAAGCTTAGAATCATAAGTCGTGACATCCCATGTGACAGTTTTTGCACCTCGGAGAGCTTGTTAATAGTGTTGTTTACAAGTTTATAACCTGCTAAAGGCTTTCGAAGCCGCCTTTTCAACCGTCACGTACGAGTCCTTCGCTTCGCCGACGCATGCAATAACATTTCTGATATATTAATAGTTTATATTGAATCTTTACGAGTGTTCCTTTATTAGGGTCACGTACACTTGAGAGCCACACTTTACCCACACATTGTCTGGAGTGATGGAATGCCGTGTGTTTTCTTTTAATTATAAGTCCTTAGACGTGCTTAAATCTTGTCCAGGTATAACTTGTAACGTTTTTGTCCTTTTATACTTTGGATGGTCGGATATTGAGTGTATATTTATTTTCAATTCAATGCATGACTTTTTTTGGGTTACGCGTTAAAATCTTTTCTTAATATAAAAATAAAATATATGTTTTTTAGTAGACGTAATTATTGTCTTTAATATGATGATGACATTGTAAGCTTTATTTATTATGATACGTATTTATATTTTATTAAAAAAAAAAACCTACGTGAAGATATTAAAAGATCGATTTTCAAACAAAATACATTTTTAACAAATTAAGTACTAAATAGAGTTTTTTTTTAAATTATCGTACTAAAAACATATATTATTCCCTCAGGCTTTTGGACAGTATGAAAATGCCGGGGCAGCGACCTGGCTTCCAAATCTCGGACATTCTCGGCTTAAACGAGGGCAAAGGCCTGGAGGCTGCGCCCCCACAGGCACTAGGAGGGTGTTCTCTCGAGCTGCCCCCTTACCCCCAACACCACTACCCCCATGAGCTGTTGAGGCACCATCAACCTTGGCTTTCGTTGGACCACCACGACGGCTCCGGTAAATAGAGTTTTTTATTTATTTTCTCATCTTATAAATGTTCTTGTTTAAATTATTATTTTTGCATATGTTTTAAATTTTCGTTCATTAAAAATGCTATGCATTTTATAATCAGCTCTGCCCTGCGATTCTGTGAAATCCAAACGCTAATTCGAATTCGCTCAGGTATTCGAAATCACTTCAAAAAGTGGCATCCATCAATCTTGAATTGGTAATAACCTTTCGTGGCATAAGTGAAGTGAGTTTCTTAATGCCATAATAGAATATCTGAGACACGTATATTCAATCAATTTTGTTTTGTATTTTTATACAAAAAAAAATGCATCTATAGAATAAATTCACTATATTGGCTTTGGATTTTTACAGAATCGTCCTGCTGTTTCCTTTTATATATAATAGATGTAAGGGTTATATAATTAGCAAAATTTCGACCTTATTGTGATTATAAAATAGTATTTAAAAATATAATTAAAAAAACATTTATGATTTTAAATAGCTTGTTTAAAAAAAATAAAATATAAAAAAACGCGCTTAGATTTACTATTTTTCTAGACGATTTGGATTTTTTAACCGACTTCAAAGGGAAAAGGAGGAGGTCATTATAATTTCTCTTGATAAATTAGAATACTTCAAGCCGAGCCGTACACCTGTACGGCTTGTCATATAAACAGTTTGTTTAAATGAATGAAAACTACCAATTATCTTAAATCGTCTATAAGTACCGGTGGTCAGTTAATAAACAGCGTTGAAAATGCAAATACACAAAAAACAACAATAACAATTAGCTGTTACTGTTTGTATAAAATTTGAGTTGACCTAAGGGTTTTAAAACAGAGATACGTTGCAATAAGACTGTTTTTTCAAAATTTAAAAAACCTTTAGCTAGATATTATCAGCGCAGTTGATATTCTATGATATTTTGTGGTGTTTTATTGTTTTATGACCCCATTAAAGCGCCCTTAGCCAACGATATAGTTGTTAAGCAACTTACGCTATTACCGATCAGAAGATGAGTGACCAAAACATTGTTATCTCAAACTCCTCCGTGCTTCGAAAGACACGTCTGCAGTCGTTAATACCCACTACTTCGCACTGGACCCGCGTTGTGTGTCATGCATGACCTATTTTCCCTATTCGATTCGATTCCATCCATAGGACTGAGGCCTTGAGGACATTAATGGTGGTGGTGATGGTAATAATAAGTGAAGTTAAAAATGTATATCCGCGGATACGGATATTTGGTGTCAAAATTATTGGGATACGGATACGGATCTTTATAATTAATAATTTTTTCAAGTTCCTCTAATTTTCACTGTGTTTGCTCGTGTAACTTTATGATTACATTTTATATGGTAGGTAGTACCTACTATGTACGCATTACCTATTAATTTACTTTATTAGAAAAATCATTTAATTAGAATTTATTGTTGGTTTTTTTTCTATTATATTGATCTCATTATAATTATAAAAATATTTAATTTTTGGTTTTCTCTTTTTCTTATATTTATAAAAGAGATGTTAAAACTTTCTATGATATTGATCTTATTATAAAAATAGTTGATTAGTACTTTTAAGTTATGTACTATTGGTATAGTAACTTACTATGATAAATGTTTGCAATATAAAGGTGCCAAATATTTGATTTTAAGAAATAAAAAATTCTTGAATTGAATTATTTCATCCTATCAATGGATAAATAATAAGTTGAAAGATCCGTAAAAGATCCGCGAGAAAAGTAACGGACACGGATACGGATCTTTTTTTTCCGTCGAATATCCGCGGATATGGATACGGATATCCGTAACATCACTAGTAATAATGATGGTGATCAAGCTACAACATACTGCCAGATAACTAATTTTATTCCTGATATTCCAAGAAGTATGGTGTCATGTTGCCCTAGGTTTCTTAAAGCGAATGAGTTTCGGTAATTCGAATAAAAAAATAAACGATACCACATTGTATGTAACTACCTTTTATGTTGAATTTAGTAGATAGTTTTCTTGATAATGTACACGAACGAACAGTATCTACTTAAATTCCTGACATATTTAGGTATAACCAACAAACCAACAAACATATCACGAGAATGTTTGATATAATAATTAATAATGCACTGAACATTTGAAATTGTGTTAAAATAAACCTATTACTAAACTACGTAAAGAGCAAAATCATATCATACTTTAGGTAAAACAATTTAGCTGCCTTTAACAACTGTGATAATAATAAGATGGAGTTAAGTTTCCTATTGAAATATTATTATCAGCCGCTATCAAATTCATATTTTGACACATATTGCATTACCGTTTCTCTGTAACTTGCCGTTACATATCTAAGATATCTACGACGATACCGACGTGTCCAAAGATGTAGATAAACTTGACGTTTAAATTATGTTTAGATATAATAATCTTATAGCTTTTAAAAATTAATTATTGTAACTTTATGTAAAAATTATAATCCAAGCGTGACGAGTACTCTTGCTCTTGCAATAATTCTAGTCATACATAATATATAGATATTCGCTTATAAAGGTATTGTTTTTAAACGACTTCAAAAAAGGAGGAGGTTCTCCATTCAACTGTATAATTTTTTGTGTGTCAGTTACGCAATAAATTCACGAATTGTGAATCGATTTTTAAAATTCATTGTTAGATAGCTTTTGGGCCCTTAATGCTCCCATATACATTTACTTGAAATCGAATTGGTCAGTTTTGTTTTTGTAACTAAACAAAATATGCTCTTTGCCGAATATTATTACACATATACCTATTATTTAACTAACATGTTTGGTTAAATAAATAAACATATCATTAAAATTGAAAAATAAATAGCGTGTCCCGAAGTATTTATCTCAATAAACTAAAATAAAATAGAATCCAGATAAAGTAGGTAGCGAATCCAGCTATTAAAAGTTTGAAAGATATGAAAGGTGGATAGAATAAGTATGCAGAATTAATGTAAAATAAATGATAGAATTGTAGTAAAAGAGAAATACAGAATTATAAAGCCTTGGAATTAAGTGGGGTGTAGTTAGGAGCTCGGCTATATATTATAAGGTCGAGCATTGAAAAAAATCTATATATTAATTGATTAAGTTTATACTACGTTTTTATAGTAAGAGAGCTAGACTTCATTATACACTCCCTAGAATCTATTATAAATATACGATATATATAGGGATGAAACTAATTTTAGTTTGTTTGTTCGTCAGTTAGATTATTGAAGAAAATTAAACACGTATTTTTTATTTTTTTGCGTTATCTTAAAATGATATATTTTGTTAAAATGCCGCATGACGTCACGCTTACAAAACTGTGACGAAACTTCTCAAATTTATTGCCTGTTATCTAAGTTATTTCTTGTTTAAAATTAAGCAAAAAAAAATACGTACATATATAATATCTTTCTATTATCTGACTGACGGATTGAATACGATTTATTTATTTCTTTTATCCAGCCTTCATCCCTATTGCTTTTATATATTTGGTATCAATCTTGAAAATCAGCACTTATAAGTTATGAGTGTGGATGTCAAATTATCACCGAAATAAATGTAAAATGACCCACTCGAAAATAATATGTAGTCGGTAGTAACATTCGAGAGGTGGAGATTATTTTTTGAAATGCTCCTCCAGTTGAGTGTTTCCAAAGGCTAATCTGTTATATTTGTTGTCATTAATTATTTTTATCGCTTTATCACTAACTCTTTCGGCGGTACTCCTACTCTCAATTGCTTTACAACAGTGCTGTCTCGTGAGTCATGTTAACTACTTTTTATTATTCCTTGTTATTTTACATTTTCTTTTACAATTAAGATAAGGTGAATCCCTGTATTTATCAAAGGCCTAGGAGTTATTGACTTAAATCAACACTAATACCATATTATGTAGTACCAGGTATATACTATTTTATGTAGTACCAGGGACCTGAATCTTACCCCTTTAAATTTGACATTTTAAAGATATTCACGATCTACACGCTGCAACTACTTGTCATGTGATAGGTAGCGATTGCGATAGTGACCTATTTAAAGATATGTAATGGACGATATTGTAAATATGACATAATTTGGCAGCCGTTAAAACGCAAATATCTTAAAAGACTGGAATCTTTCGACGGGTTTAACTTAATTTGTATTATGTTTCTTGATCATTCAAACCATCATTCGATACAAAAACAATTAGGACTTAAATGTTACATAATTCCATAAATTGCTATCACATTCGATACACCACTGAAAGGAATTGCAATAGATTTACAATTAGCCCACAGGTTTAAACTATTACCCGACCAAAATAAGTCAACACGAATCAATTTAACGGTTTATCTTCTGTCATTGTCAAGTTGCTTTAGGCGGCCAATGGTAAAAACAAAGTACTAATTTTTGTCCTAGTTTTACAATCAGACGGTTAGTCTTACTAATCTTCAAATTTAAACAGTAATATACATTTTTTGACATTTATTAAAGGTTCAAATCACTATATATGATTTTAAGACATCTCTGTTTATATGAATGGTGACAGATTTTCATGTAGTGTTCATGTATAAATAGGCAAAGTAATTAACGAAAAGCTTAATTTTTAATTTATCATTTAACTAGCTGTTTTCCTGCAACTTCGTTCTACAAATTATATCCCGGGCTTATTCAATGCAAACAAACTATATAATTTTTACTCTTTATAATAATAGTACCTATAGATAAATTGACTTAAGTAACAATTGTGTGCAATGAGTATTAAACCGGACGCAGAAAGTATCTAAATTATTTCAGTTTATAAAAAACAAGATTAGTTACATTCTTTATAAAGGTACGTTTCTTAGAAATGCTTATATTAGTCTAAATTGAATTTATTTTACTAGCCAACGACTGAGTCACACTTTTATAATTTAATAATTCCACTGCACCTAGTACATACTTTTTAACCCGGGAAGTTAGGTCGATTGAGAAGAGCATTGAGTTAAAGAAATGGACAAACAATTTAACATTAAAATAAAATAAATCTTCGAAAAAGATGTTTAATATTCACTTTTTAGTCTGTCTGTCTGTTCGTCCGTCCGCGTTTTAGTTTAAAACTGTTATTATTAGAATGTTGTAATTTGGCATTAGAATATACGTTAATTAAATCAATTTAGTAGGGTAATTACATGTTAAGTTGGGAAGAGAATTTCTTTCTTGTCTTTCCCATACTGTGGAATATCGTTGGATAGGTCTTTTAAAAATATTGGGGATGTGGGAAGACTATTATTCGATTAAGTTAACCGTTCGTGACTAAATACGCTATAGAGAGCTACTTTTCGTTAGAGTTAAGTGTAGGTACCAACTACCAACTAAACAATTTTTGTAAGAAATTCAAACGTCACGGTAGTAGTACTATATACCTATAACGAAGAAAAGGAAAACTATCTGACTTAAGTTGGCTTTACAAATTTACGAGTAGTAGTCGACCAATTGTACTTAACTCGAATATTTCGAACAAATATGTTTTTTTTTACGTTTTTCATAGATAATGGTCGGAATCCTTCACGGGAGTCCTAGGCGTACTTGGCCGGTATTTAATTTAGACAGCTAAGATACTGATATCACCTATTTACGTTAATATCAACACTGTGACGTTTCACCTCAAAAACAAAAAAAAAGGTCGTAAGTAGATGACATCAATCTCAGATATCTCCCTGTGTTAGTTCACGCCCCTGATCACACGGGGTAGTTACGGGCCTGGCGGGCGCGACGCGCGACTAATCGCCCACCAATGGGTCGATCGCAGCTGCCGCTATCATTGTTGTGGCTCCTGTGGATGCTATACGTTTGTTGTTTGGTAACTTTTATAGATTCTATTGCCCCCTTTGTTGGGTGTCATTACAATATCTTTGGCATATTTAGATGATAATTTGCAGGCGTCGGTAGCTGATATATATGTATTAGCAATGTTATAGCGTAAAATTAATCTGTTTCTGAACATGAACGGTTTGTTTTCAAATTGTTTTACAAAGACTTTATTTTTTATAGTACCATGGTAACTAAGAAAATGCTAAATTATGAATGTAAAATTGTTCAAATATATTTTTAAAATACTTAAAACATGAATAAATTTTTTAACAGACAAATAGGAATTACTTTTTTAATAGATTAAGTAATATTTTATGAAAGCTAGGAAAATATTTTTGCTCTATGATGATAAGGAATCTTTTACATTCACTTAGTTTACACACAAAAGCAATACATACATATTTCTATAATTTCGAACGATTGTTTATTTTAACACATGGTTATATCTAGTTTAAAATGCAGTTGTGCAAGTGTGGAGTATCTTATATTTAGCGTACATGCATGCGATAAACAACAATTTTTACATGATTTTAAATATTGATTGATATCTTAATCAGTCTGTCATTCACTGTACCTTTGATCAGACTACGTGATATAGTTATTATTAAGGTACCTATGGATTAGTCGATACGTTCGTAGGTATGGGTACATTTAATCGTATTTTCAAAGTAAAAACAGATAAAAATTACAGTTAAAAATTAACATACATTTGTCTTACTGAAGTTAAGAATTGGACTGTAAATAATTTTGTATAAATAATTAGACTAATTTGAAATACTTACACACTTACACATCTGGACCTGAAAAGCATTAGGTCGGATGTGCAGAACCAGCTAAAATCACTTATCGCCATAACGTTGCTACACTCTTTTTTCTCTTTCCGGCAAATTAACTCTTGTATGTTTGTGCCTTTTTACTCATGAGCAACAGTCATGCATAAAGTCGGATAAGACGACTTTTTCAAATATTTTGATTGCATTTAGCTATTTCTGTTTTTATACAGTTTTTATACATCCGACCTAATGCTTTTCAGGTCCAGACATATTTTTAATATATTGATTTAGCGTTTGTATTATATTAAATGTTTAAAGAATGAATTTATTGTATTATAATCATAAGGATAATCAAAATGGCAAAGAGAAACCGGTTTCGCTAGACGGTGTACTTTTATTTAATTTCCTGGATGTGCTTATTGAGGTAAGCGGGCCCGAATAAAGCGGCAGCTGTCAGGGGTGGGAGTGTCCCCCGTCCCCCCTTCGGCCCCACCCCTCGATCACCACGCCCACCCCGCGCCCGCCTCGACATTATCACCCCGTGTGAAGCGAGGGGCATTTAACAATGCAATATTTGCACCGATTTTTTTCTCTAGCCATTATTTATTCGACTGGTTGGGAACATTTAGTTCTTGTTAAATAGAGCTCACCCCTACAGATTAAGTGGAGATGAGTGTTTAGTGTTGCAGCGGCATTACAATTTAGTTTAGCGGTTTTATTTGCTACTTACACGATTGTTTGTAAAATATTTTTTTAAAGTATTTTTTTTTCTTCTGGAACTTGCTTTAACTTACATCAAAGTTAGGGAATACCAGTACGGAATATTTTATTATAGCCCTTCCTGTTCGAAAACATAGTTCAAAGGCCGGTTTCTGAATTGAGAATAATACAAAATTTCAACTGATTATTCTCAATATTCTTTTTTTTTTACTTCTTAATGTCCTAGTTTTTATCAGACTTCGATCAACTGATCATTAAAAAACAAAACTATAATCAGAAGCGTAAATCTGTTTAAATGAAGTTTAAGTACAATTTCAGACGTGCATAACTTTAAACATTCAGAAACCGGGTGGGAATCAATAATAAATTGATAATGTATATTAACATATTCTTTCTTTTTGTCCCAGGTGTAATTGGACAACAAGCGAGCCCGGATAGTACATCACGCGCTTCCGAGCTTTCCTACATCGGGGTGCCTGCTTCCTCCCCTCCCATTAACGATTCTCGCAACGATCACGACCATGACCAAGAACACGACCACGACCTCGAGCACGATGACGACAACGATACCGACCAACCGGCGAACAACAATTCGGATCCGAACTTAGCACACAAGAAGCGTAAAAGGCGCGTTCTATTTTCGAAAGCGCAAACGTACGAATTAGAGAGAAGGTTTCGTCAACAGCGGTATCTTTCAGCTCCCGAACGAGAACACCTGGCTAGTCTTATCCGTTTGACGCCGACTCAAGTCAAGATATGGTTCCAGAACCACAGATACAAGACAAAGAGAGCAGTGCAGGAGAAAGGTGCTCATGATTTGAACGTTGGAGGCTTGAATTCACCTCGCAGAGTTGCTGTACCTGTGCTGGTTAAAGACGGAAGACCGTGCCTCGGTAAGCCAGATGGTTTACCCCCACTCGGGATGTCCTTACCTCCGTACCAACCTATTCATCATCAACCCCCAGTGTCGGGACACACATCACAGCCCAGTGGTTGTTGGTGGTGATAAGTGTTCTAAAATTAATTCCAGTGTTTTACTAGTCCAGTGCCGCGGTTTGCAATTATCACTTTTTTTTATTAAAAACAATTCAGTGTCTTGCAAACCAACGCTCAAATATTTAGGCGGATGCATTCCGAATATTGTATTTAAGTAAACATGTAGTTTCAGTTAAGTAACTCGAATACTAAGCGATTAGAATCCACCCTAAGGGTTCTATAGTAAAAAAGATTGATGGTATCTGGAGTTCCTAATTATTTGTATTGTAAATTACTACCTATTTCATCGAAGCTATGAACAAATGTTTAGAGCGATTTCATTTTAGATTATAAAATATTGACTAGACATTCCACATGATACTATGGAATTTGTATATTTATGTAAAAAGCTTATGACAAAATAAGTTACTTATATATAATATTATGAGAAATGACCAGATTTTATTAAAATGCAATATTTAGTGTTAAGATTCAGTATTACATACCGTAGTAGTCGAATATAATTAGCGAATAAATATTTATGTATATTCCAGAAGAAAGTTTTATATTAGAAACATACATACCTAATAGGTAGTATATGTAGTGATAATTTTTGCTGTATATTGTGTATATAAAGTTTTTGAGTGAAAAAGTTACCTATATTAAAACGAAAACAACTTTTATCTTACATCAGCCATTCATAAACAACATGTTAACATTCCAAGTACTTTGATAACATATTCTATTAGGATTTAATTAATGTTGTAAAAATGTGTTACATATTATAAATTATTATCATGAGAATATTAAACAGTTTGAATGTAAAAATTGAATTTTATTCTTTAGACCGTGAATAATCTCTGGGAGACTGGATACACTTCATTCCCTCTTTTGTTTTGCAGTCATACGGTCAATTGCACAAACGTCCATTACGGTTTAATGACTCCTTTAAGCTCTAATGAATGTCAAATTTGTATGGGTAATGTAGCTTTAAAGTAATGAAAATTTTAATGGAGGTTTGTGCAACTGGCCAATAGTTCTTTAAATGTTAATCGTATTTTGATACCAAAATATTTTCATGTAACAAAAATAGTTTAAAAGTTACAATTTGACTGCTGTCCATCTGTACAAGTATTAAATTTGATAGGCGTGCCAGTTTTAGAATCTTAGCGCTTATCATTTTGTGTTCATTGTTATAAATCTTGTGTACCCAGTGTCCTGTTAAGATCAAATATCCCCCAGTTAATGGTACTCTTTTTACTAAGTCTACTTTCTTTCTTTCAATTATATTATACTTATTTGTTTTTCGTCAAATAGTCAAAGGAAAAGGGATCGGTAAAAGGAAACGAGGTTGTATATCAAACCGCAACCTCACCAGCAAAATGTAAAGAAGAAACAAAAATAAGGACGTCATTTGTTTTCTACTCGACGCTTGCTGAAGAATTGATCCACGCGTATGTAACTGTCCGTATTCCAATAACATTTATATCACAGGTACAAGTTTGTGTTTCGTCGCTTATCTTATTGCGATGAGTATTTCTGATTGCATAGGTATCTGAGTTCTATTTTATGTACTCAAAGCAAAATTGCTTTTCTTATTACAAGTTTTTTAGTTACACTAATGCAATAAGTGTAGGCTACATTTTGAAAGCTTAATTTGAGCTTTCCGATTCTGGTTGTGTTGAAAATTTCCGTTCATATATAACTTGGATGACAATTAAATAGTAATATAGAATAGATATGATCTGATCATGAAGTTGGAAGTATAGTATAGGACTACCTTCCAACTTCATGATCAGATCAGATCCATAGAGATCCTATGATCTCTATAATTAAATGGAGCAACCCAATCTAGTTTGCGATTAATTTGATTTAACAAGATATCTATCTTATTCAATGTAATATGCAACAAAGTTCTTTCTCTCCAACCGTTGGACCACCCAAAAGGCTGGTCAAAGCTCGAATTGGCTCATAAAATCACTCCAATACCTTCTCTCGTCACATAAGCCTCGGTAGAGTGGCAAGAATATTACTCATACGGATTAACATGACACCTCAAGACCTATTCTATTAATTCTATTATTCGTAATTCTTCGATTATTAGTTCTAGGGCAAATAGAATAGGTACTCTGATGTTATACTAATAGGAAATTGTAGATACCTATATTTCTGTATTTTTCTATATACGAGTACCTACCTATCTAAATATTTCTGCATTTACAACAAAACTATGATTAAGAATAGAATTAATTTGGAATAAGGACAATCATATTTTATTTCTCGTTAAAAACTTTAGAGCATTGATCATATTTTACTGTCAAGTTTTGTTATTTGTAACTGTGTGATACAGACATACCGATCATAGTTTACCTACTAAATATTTACGTTTAGTTTATCTAATCTGTCGATAGCTTGCGACCCGATAACTGGAATATCTCTTGCCGCAATTTTCTCTGTACACCTGTAAATATAATATTACCAGGAGAATTGGTAGGACAGTTGTATTAGGTATATAGAAATTTGTCAATTAATTAATGCCTATTAATCTCAATTAACTCGATTTTTTCCCTCGATTTCGTCCACGTAAATAGTATGACACAATTTGCCGTAGATGGAAGTATTCCCTCGTCCATCTCTGAGGTCCCGGGTTCGATTCCCGGTCGGGTCAATGTAGAAAATGAACTTTTCTATATTGACTCGGGTCTGGGTGTTGTGATACCTTCGTTGTCTCAGATACTCCATAGTACGGGGGTTTTAGCTACTCATCTTGGAATCTGAGCAATGTATGTGATCTTGTTTAAAATATATATACATATATATATATGACACAATTTGCCGTAGATGGAAGGATTTTTAAAATTGGTCCAGTTGCGTCGGAACCTATTCAATACATGATTATATATTGAATAGGTGAGGTAATGACATGATTTTGTAAATGTCATTACTTATGATAAAGAGCTGGTAAGTTTCTTTCGCTTGTTCTTCTTGTCAGCTAAAAGACGTCCTGAACGACTAGTAGGGGAATAAAATTTACTCGAATAAAGAATTTTCATTTCATTTCACAATTTAAGAAACAAAAATATATATTATTTTTTCTTTTTATAATATTAGATAAAAAAAAATAAAGCGGAACATTAAGTATACGGTTATCTTAATAAAACTGTTTACAGTTTAATTAATATCGATAGATAAAATTGAAACCTATAATACCGCAGTGGTTTTTTATAATTAAATCAAAGTCAACCTCGACGTTGAGCTCAGCGCTCTATACTGTGACAACGCTGTGCTCGATGTAGTGTTAGACGCTGAATTTATTATATTACATAGTTAATACATACAGGACATTCATGTCATAGAGATATTGTATAATATGAGTAATAATCTCTCATTTAGAAAGAAACGTAAGATCGTGCTACTCTATCCTTCCTAGTTTATTTATAGCTATCCTATACTGAGCCTGTATCAATACAAAGAAACCGATGGGGTACCATGATCTTTTTTCTGTTTCTAACTAGGGACTTTTCAGCCTACAGATGGTATGTCTTCTCTGCTCTATTATTATAATATCTGTATGAACACATTCGGTAAAACAAAACTATCCATTAGTTTGTTACAAGTAGATAGAGCTTAGAATTTATTGCGAGAAATTAAAATTTTGTCTTTGTATCCTGACATGTTATAATGGTTTTGCGAGTACCAACATTTTTATTACTACGAGTAACAAATATGTGCTATAATTATTAGGAACAGACCAACAATCACATTGAGAGCCGTTTACTCTTTGGTATAGACGGGTAGTGGGCAATATCGTTGATAGTTTATAGAATTCATGACTTTCACCGACTCCGCAAGCCGAAATTTGTTTTTTTGTATTTGAGATATAATTCTCAATTTGAAAAAAAATAATTGAATTACTCTTTCCGTAAAATGGTTACAATAAATCGCAAAAAATATATAGCTTATGGTGAATCTTCATTTTCGCAGAGTAGACATATTAATGCCTACGATGGCCCTGTTTAATTAATAATATCGTACATAGGTAAAATGATTATATGTTATTTTCGGTTAGAGTCATCTTCTTCGTCTTCTTCTTGTCTTCCGCAACTCGACACAGGTTAGAGTCGTCATTAGTAGGTCTATTCTGCATTTCACAGGTCTCATTCCACAGCAGAGGGTACATTGTAGTGGTTTTGGTGACGGAGGAGAGTACCATACCCGCCATGTCGATCGCCGGGCTGCAGGGACTGTGATTTACATTTACCCGACGCATGAAAAAAGACAATTTACCATTCGCTATATTAGTTGGAATTTTAATGTACTACAAATTACTTTTTTTATAATTTAATTACAAAATTATCCTTGTGTAAAGTAATGTATTATGAAAGTTACAGACACAGCGGTTACAAATTGTGTTGGTGTTATACCACGCGTGTAATTGTACATAAACATCGAATTCCAAAATGTGTGATAATAGACGATTATGCTACATCCAGGAGCTTACTAGTCACACCTTCTTTACATCCGTACTCCTTCGAAGCGGCAAGTCGAAAAATTCAACAAAGAGACCCAACGTCTATTAAATAAATAATAATAAGACACAATGCTTCAGCCGTCGGTAGCTCACCATTCACAATAGGCAAACAAACTGTGAATTAAGCTCGATCGCGCTTCTTGAAACGATTGAATCGAATACATCGATTGTTGCCGTAAGCCGATTAACTCGATATACGAATGCGAATTCGTAATGTGTGACTGTCAGTTTGTTTTTCTAACCGTTTCTATTGTGCAGGTAAGTTTTTGACATTCTTGAATTAGTAAGAGTGAAATCCAAAATAATTGTCGTTGCTATAGTTGATTGCTATAACATTCTTATATTGAACTATATTCAGTTGAGTATTATTATTGAAGAACAGGTCGTCGTGAGAAGATGATGGTAAAGGTTCTATATAAAACGTTTCCTAGAGATAATCACATTTATTTTGGGTTAAGATCTTATGTGTGTCTAGCCAAGGTTTCAATGATTGGGTTTGGAGATTGGCATTTAATATTATAACAATCGATCAAGTAAATGAAATAAAACCATATATATGACTCAAGAAAGAAGATTCCTCTGCTCTTGCCTCTTATTTAAAATCACTCTACGAATTTTCAGAAAACTGGGAATTCTGGTTCTTGTGCTACTCTTGTTTTCTTCTCTATCTTAATGTGTTGATCACCTAAGCGTTAGATATCTGCTTCATTTATTTATAGTAAGCTCATTTAACTTTATGCCAGAAGAATGACTAACGCCGATGTCGGTATGACGCTTAAGTGCACTACGGTAATGACTGTGCATATTATAGCCTCGAGCATGGACACAAAATATTATCAAAACATCTCTCATGTTCTCAATATAAAAAAGAATAGCACTGTAACGCACAGACACACGGTTCCATTTCCTTTGTTGTTGAATAAGTTTGGCGAGCTTCGGTGGGATGTATTGATTTTGTGTATTTGTTGGTTCATTTTTGACTTAATCTCTGACGAATTGAAGCACATATTCGCTTGAAGCGTTAACCTGTAAGTAGCGTATGAAATACAATATTGTCGATGTAAGCGCAATAATGTTATGATGGACGAGCGCCTCGGTCAGTGTGCAGTCGGCTTGAAACAGATAACGCAGTCAATATCATCACTATACCTGACTTCTCCACTCTAATTACCTTTAACTTGGGTAACATGAATGAAATGAAAAGCTCAAACAATCACTTTGTTTTCTTTTAGTAGATTCTGGTAAATATTTCTGAACATTTCTGAATGTATAAATATGGAATCTAACATATTAAGGGATTT